CATTCAATGGGGAACAGAAAATCTCTTTAACAAATAGCGCTGGCAAAACTGTATATCCATTTGCAGAAAAATGAAACAACCCTACACAAAAACTAACTCCAGATGGATCACAGACATAAATGTAAAACAAAGTTTATCACAGAAAAAATAGGGGGCATATTTTATGACATTAATAGACTATTAAACGTAAGTGAAAATGTACAAACAGAAGTTAAACTAGATGATTGAGACCTTGTCAAAATCAAATTTTAATGCACATCAAAAGACTTCTCCAAAAGAGTTAAAAGAGAACCTACAGATTGGGGAAAAAATATTCAGCAATGACATATCTGAGAAGGGACTTATCTCTAAAATTTAAGAAAACTCCAACACCTCGACATCAAAAAGACAAAAAATGGGCAAAGGACATGAACAGATACTTCACTATTCACTAAAGAAGATATTCAGGCAGCCAACAAACACATGAAGAAATCAATGTCATTAGCCATTAGAGAGATGAGATACCATCTTGCTCCAGCACTAGTAGCAAAGTTCAACAAGACAGAAAATAACAAATGCTGGTGCAGTTGCAGAGAGATGGTACAACCACTGTGGAAAGCAGTATGGCAATTCCGTCAAAAGTTGGAATTGGAAATACCATTTGACCCAGACATTCCTTTACTAGGTATATATTCTAAAGAAGTGAGAGCCAGGACAAGAACAGACATATGCACACCCATGTTCATCGCAGCACTATTTACAATAGCCAAAAGATGGAAACAACCTAGGTGTCATCAACTGAGGAATGGATAACCACACTATGGTACATACACACAATGGAATAGTATGCAATGCTAAAGAATAATGTAGAATCTGCTAAACACCGCATAACATGGATGAACTTGGAGGACATTATGCTGAGTGAAATAAGTTAATCACAAAAGGACAAATATTGTATTAGTCCGTTATTGTAATATTGTAAAAGTCAAAGAAAGGTTTAGATATGGAAGGAAATTTTCTTTGTTGGTTACCAGGGGTGGGAGGGTAGGGTAGGGAACACTGTTAGACAGATAGAGATAAGTATTGATATGGGTGAAGAGAAGGGCGATGCACCAAATGTGAGTGATCAACATAGTGGCATTGAGGAAGAGGAAGACATAGAGAGTTACATGCGAGGTACAGACAACAAAGATGAACCCTTTTGCACACATAGTACTGTGCTGTCAGTGAAGGCAAACATGGGTATATGGGTAGATAGATGGGACAGCCTGAACTATTAGGTATGTCTATAAAATGGAAAGTGTATCCAAGATCATATATAGGGTTGGCAGACAATGGTCCTATAAGTTTATGTGAATGATCAGAATTCCCAGGTGTATAGTAGAGCTGACAAGGGGCAGGGTTGTGGTCACTTTTTGGTCACAGCCAGCTACCCAGAGGAACCGCGTAGTTGAACCTGTGGGCTAGGGCCCACAGTCGCAGGGGACAGCAAGCTCAATTGGCATAACATACTACAAAAAACATTGTTCCACCTCCTACTTTGGTGAGTAGCGACTGGGATCTTAAAAGCTTGCAAGCAGCCATCTAGATGCAACAACGGGTCTCTCCTCATCCAGAATAAAGAAGAATGAAGAAAACCAGAGACTCACAGAAACAATTAGTCCTAGCGAATGGTACACCATGTGATCTATGTAGGAAATTCTGGATAGAGAGGGAGAACAATGTGGAACAAAACTAAAAATCCTTTGGAAGGAAAAAAAAAGAGGGGGGCACCAGGTTTGCTGGTCCGATGGAGCCTGGTGGAACTACTGAGACTATGGCCCCTAGCTGCCCTTCAGGTGTGGAATTGAACCCACACCTGTGGCTTCCAGCCAAACAAAAGACAGGCATAGGAGTTGAACATTTACCTGAGGTAGATTCCTTGGAGAGAACAATCATGGGAGAATAGAAGGGCTGTTTATGTATAGCGAGACAGCTCAGGGAGCAGGAGTACATGGAGGGTTGGACACAGGAAAGAGGTACTATCAGGAGGAAGTGGGAGGGGAGTTGTTGCATTGCGGTAAATTGTAGCAAAGTCATGAGATAAAGTGTATGTGAACTGCTGTATCAAAAGTGAATTTGCTCTGTAAATTTCCACCTAAGTCACAATTTAAAAAAAAAAAAAGAAGTGAGAACCAGGACAAGAATAACGTTCATTGCAGACTATTTACAACAGCCAAAAGATGGAAACAACCTGGGTGCCCATCAGTTGAGGAACAGATAACCAAACTATGGTACAAACACATAATGGAATACTATGCAATCCTACAATCCTAAAGAATAACACAGAATCTGGGAAATACCTCATAATTTGGATGAACTTGGAGAACATTATGCTGAGTGAATTATGCTGAGTGAAGTTAGTCAATCACAGAAGGACACATATTCTATTAGTTCACCACTGTAAAAAGTCAAAGGAAGGTTTACATATGTAAGGAAACTATTTGTTGGTTACCAGGGACTGGGGCAGAGGGGAGGGAAAATTGCAAGATGGATAAAACAAAAGGAAAGGCACTATACAAAAAGCTTATTAGTACTAAGGAAACACAGTAATACTATGGAAAAGGCACAGAGAGGTGCACAACAGGTACATACAACAAAGAAATATTTTTAAACACACAGTACTGCATTATTAGTAATAACAAAGTCTGCGGGCGAACACATAGAAAGACAGGCTCAATGATCAGGTAGGTCTAGGCAAAAGGAAATATACCCTTGACCACATGTAAGTTTGATAGATGATATTTCTACATATGTATGTGTATGTGCTATAGGAATGTCTATATATATATAATACAGTAAAGGGGGCAAAGTTATAACTTCTTAGCCACAGCCAACCCCCCCGCCCCCTGTGAGGGAGGGAGTTGTTGGGCCCATCGGCTCGGGCACTTGGTCACAGAGGACATCAAGCCACATTGGGGTAACATGGTACACAAAAACATTGTTTTACATCCTACTTTGGTGTGTAGTAACTGGGGTCTTAAAAGCTTGCAAGTAGCCATCTAAAATGCAACAAATGGCCTCTCCTTATCCAGAGCACAGAAGGATGTAAAACATCAAAGATGCATGGAAACAACAATTAGTCCAAGGGGACTAGTGGACCATCCAAACCTCAGCCTACATGACCCTGAGAACAGAACTAGATGGTGCCAGGGTACCACTGTCAAACACTTAGAAAAGAATCAATAGGAGCTTCTATATAGGCAGAGTGGGAAAAAGTATAGAACAAAACTCAAAATCATAATAAAGTCTAGGTTGGCTGGTCTGATAGAGACTGGTGAAACTCCTGAGATTATAGCCCCTAGTCACTGTTGGGACCTGGAATTGAACTCACTCCATGGCTTTTAGCCAAACAATACACAGGCCTATAAAGTAAACATTTCCACCAGGAAGCTATACCCCTTAGAACACTCAAGCATGAGACATCAGAATGGCAGCATTTGGACTGGAAGATAGCTCAGCAGGCAGAAATACATAGGAAAGGAGGACACAGGGAAAAGGTAACCACAGAGAGGAAGTGGGAAGAGAGTTGCTACATTATGGGGATTGCAAGAAATGTCATGAAACAAAATGTACGAACTGCATGTACAATGTATGGAAAATGAATTTGCTCTGTAAAGTTTCACTCAAATCACTAACACCAACACCAGCCCCCCCCCACACACATTTAAACAAAGAGCAGCTTAGATACAGTTGCCCACCCCTGCTGAGGAAAAGAGATGCCATACGGGGATGGCAGGACCAAGCCCCTAATGTGAACTTTCTATAACTGTGAGAAAATAAAATATCTATCTACTTACAATATTTGTCTTATAACAGCACTAGTGATCTAAGGCATGGGGTAAATGGGGTAATTACCTTAGCTGCTACAGCGTGCATATTAAATAATACCCTACATGACCTTCTGAGCCCTGCCTGCGCAAAGGAAACTTTTACAGAGTCAATCTTACCACCAGGCTGGTGGGTCACTCCTAAGCACCCCTGGCTCTACACTCCTCAGTAGTGGTTCTGTGTGTCAGGAGCATTGACCCTCAGCCCCTGTCCTAGGATGTGGACAAAGGTGGAATGTTTTTTTTCATCCCTGGAGACAGCTGGGACAAGCTGGCCAACCCCTCAGGTTTCAGAAGTGGAGAGGGTACAAAGATGGGGGCTACCTTAACAAGGGAAGAAGACACAGCATTTCCTGGCGCTTCTGTTCAACCCCTCCTCCCTCCGAGGGGTACTCCTCAAACTCATTATCGGGGCACCTCACAGGCCTCTCCTGCCCAGGACTCTGGGGTAGTGCCTGTGGGCCCTACACTGTGGACCCTTCCCGATTCCTCCTACACATCCAGAGGCGCTCCCCTGGGCTGTGAGCATCCTCTCCACACTGAGCTTCAAGGGGCCTCAGAGCCCACCTGCTCCAAGCCCCTTCGTCACAATGGGGACCAGAAGCCAGGTGCTCTGCCCCCTGCTCTGGGCTCTCCCTCCCCCCTGACACAGACTCCATTAGAACTACATTCCTTTCTCTTTCTCCATCCCTTTTTTCTCCTTTCCTTCTTTTTCATGCATTTATACATGAGCTACTTCCTTGCAACATGGTCAAGACAGATTTCAACTGGGAGACTGGCCAGTTAGATGAACTTGACCATTCGTGTGAATGACACCTAGAGGTCGCCCCACCCAACCCTGTGTAGAGACTACTTCCTACCAGTGGTGGGTGGGTGTCAGGGGTCCCTGAGTGGTGCAAACAGTTTGTGCTTGACTGCTAACCAACAGTTTGTCTGTTTGAACCCACCCAGAGGCTCCAGGAGAGAAAGACCTGCAGACCGGCTCCCGTAAAGATCACAGGCAAAGCCCCATGGGGCTGTTCTACTCTGAAACACATGGAGGTGCCATGAGTCTCTGTCAGCTCTACAGCATCAGGTTTACAGGTGACTGTCCTCTGCACCCCCAGCTCGCACCTCATCCTTCTCTGTCCTGGGAGATGGCCAGGAACCCACCTGCTCAAAGGGGCTTTTACTCTTGAGATTTTTGGCTCCTATGAAGACCCAGCTGTCTCGGAATCCAAGTTGCTTGGCATAGGAACTCCCCAAGTCAGAAAAGAGCTTCCTGATCTCATCATTCATTCTGCAGGGAACAGAGAAGATAGGGCACAGCGGTGGGTTGAGAGGGAGCCACAGTGGCGGGACAGGAGGACGAGGTGCACAAGGACACGCCCTGCCCTCCACTGTGTTTGGCACCTGTACCTGACTGGAACCAGTAAAATAAGACACTTGGTCACGCTCAGGAAAAACCAGGGCAGAGGTGTCCCAAGCCTTTCCCTCCAAAAGGGGAGTCAGATGGGGCTGGAGAGCTGTTGAAACATTTTGTCTTCTGATAATAAATATTCACATTCATTTGGAAAATCACAAAGAAGTAACTGAAAAATACAGTCTCACTCCTCTTGACATAATCATTGTAAACAACATATTTTCCCCATGTCTATTTTTCCATGCACAGTGGGATCATACCGACTGTTTTGTAAACTTTTTCCCCCCTACTTAGCTGTCAAAGTTTTTTTTTTAAATGTCCTTATTTTCCACATCATCCTTTCTGCTGCACTATACCATAATTTAAGTCCATATGGTATGTATTATAACATCACTTGCTGTCATGTGCCATCCAGTCGGTTTTGACTCAGACTGGCCCCATGTGATAGAGTAGAACTGCCCCTGTAGGGTTTCCTAAGCTGTAATCTTTTTATGGGAAAGGAGCCCTGGAGGTGCAATGGTTACAGCACTCAGCTGCTAACCTCAAGGACAGTGATTTGAATCTACCAGCTGCTCCCATGGGAGAAAGATATGGCAGTCTGCTTCCATAAAGATTTATAGCCTTGGAAACCCTGTGGGGCAGTTGGGGCAGTTCTACTCTGTCTATAGGGTTGGAATTGACTTGATGGCACATCATTTTTATGGAAACAGATTGTCGAGTCTTTGTCCCATGGAGCTGCTGGCTGGGTTTAGACCACTGACATTTTTGTTAGCAGCTGAGCACTTAACCACTGTGCTGCCAGGCTCGAACATACCATAGCATCAGATAATTGCAATATATCATTTATAAACTAGCTAGGTATCACTGGACAAGGAGATTGTTTCTATTTTTCCACTGCTGCAAGCAAGGCTACGGTGAAAACCCTAGAACACCTCTTTGTGCACATGTCTGATTATTCAAGGAGGCTAGACTGTCAGAGGATGGAGCCACAGAAAGCAGCTAAGAGGGTACAGGACCGGAGGCATGAGCTTTCCACTTACTTGGACCCTGGATCATCATAAGAGGCCACCAGCACCAGCGTGTCCTCTGGAATTTCCTTAAGGAATTGCACCAGTTGGTTAGCGTCTGGTAGAGGAAGAAAAACAAGATGCTGGTAATTGAGGGGAAAGGATTGCTGGCCATCCTCTTCTACTTCCATGAACGACAGGAGTGGTCCTGCGGGAGGGCTTGGTGGTGGTGGTGGTGAGTAGAACGGATGGAGTGACATGATCCTCATTCGTGGTGGTCTGGGTGGGTCCCAGACATTAGGATGTGAAGTTGCCCAGGTGGTTCTAATGTGCACCAGAGTTGAAAACTACTGGTCTAGAGGACCCTTATGGGCCTACCCCCCAGAGGACCAGGCTAACCCATCTCTCAGGAAGCTCCGGGCTTTTCGTGCAACCCTTTCTGCCCCCTCCTCACTGCTTAGGGGCTCTCACTGGCTGTGCTGAGTTTGCATGGTACACCCACATGACCTCACATAACTGGGACCTGGAGAGGGAACGTTGTGTGTCATCAAGTGGATTCTGACTCAAGGTGACTCCATATGACAGAGTGGAACTGCCCCATAGGGTATCCTAGGCTGGAATCTTTACGGGAAAGGAGCCCTGGTAGTGCAGTGATTAAGTACTAAGCTGCTAACCTAAAGGCAGGCAATCTGAACCCACAAGTCACTCCTCAGGAGGAAGATGTAACAGTCTGCTTCTGCAAGGATAACAGCCTTAGAAAGCCTACGGGGCAGTTCTCTTGTGCCCTATAGGGTCACTATCAGTTGAAATGGAATTGATAGCAATGGGTTTTAATCTTTACAGGAACAGACTGCCAGGTGTTTCTCATGCAGAGCCCCTCAGCAGATTAAAATCACTGACCTTTCAGTTAGCAACCAAGTTCTTAAACATTGTGCCACCAGGACTCCTCGAGGGAATGTTACCCAACCCTGCTGTCATCATATTGATTCCAAATCTAAGGCTGTAATCTTATTGCAAAAGCAGGCTGCCACATCTTTCTCAGAGTTGGTTTGCACCACTGACCTTCTGGTTAGCTTAACCACTGTGCAACCAGGACTCCATTGAGGGGACATTAGTTTCCTTCAATTTTCCTGCTCACACCAAGCAGCAAGGCTGTGTTTGGTGTTACTGTGTCTTTAACATCTTTCTGCACTTGCTAATTCTCTATTTAACACAGAGCAGATCTTGGGCTCAGTATCTGGGTAAGGCATCAGGGTCCAGCTCACTATGAGGGCACTCATTTGTTTCTGTCATACGCCTCCTCACTTAACAAGTATCCCCTTATCTGACATTTCACATTTATGACAATAGGAAAAAACCTGCTCTGTGACTATTCTGCACATTAATGGTGTATATTTGCCAGTAATGAATGCTAAGGTCTTAGGTCAGAGTAATGCTGGCTGTGACAGTTAGGTTACATTTCAACTTAGCTGGGCCATGATTCTCAGTGGTTTGACAGTTATATAATGATGTTGTCATCCTCCATTTTTGCCTAACACCAATTTTCACAAAACAACTTGGTCTTTGAAACCTAACATGTTGATATGTGATGAGTGGGTGTATTTATTTTTGTGGTAACTTTCCCTGCAAAACAAGAAATAAATGGCTTTCTACTTTCAGTAGTATTTTAGCTTCCTTTTAAAAATATATTTAGGTACAAAATGATTTGGTTTAAAGGAAAATACTAATAATGCAGATGGTACTGAATATGACAGTACTTGTGATGGGGGCTCTGGAATGACTGAAGTGTGGAAAGATTAGGTTAGTGACTAAAGCAGGTTACACCTATAAAATGACTATGATTGACAGCCCTACTCATAGTACTTTTGTAAAGATCCAGTATGACAATGACTCTGGGTAAACAGTAATGCACTCTAGTAGAATTATTATTATTAGCAGGATCAGCTCCGTAACTTATGGGCCCTAGTGAAAAATTTAAGTGCAGGTCCTTTGTTAAAAGCTGTTGAGGTCCATGACCATGAGACCAGAAGAACTAGATAGTGCCCAGCTACTACTGTTGACCGCTCTGAAAGGGATCACAATAGGAGTCTTGGATACAGTGGGGAAAAAATGTGAAAGAAACAAAACTCAAAATCATAAAAAGGACTAGGCTTACTGGTCTGATAGAGACTGGTGGAACTCCTTAGACTATGTAGACTATGGCCCTTAGGCACCCTTCAAGCCTGGAACTAAACTCACCCCCATGGCTCAACTTTCAGCCAAATGATAAGACAGGCCTATGTTATTGTTATGTGCTGTCAAGTGAGACCCGACTCAGCGACCCCTCCTTGGGTTTCCAAGGTGGTAGGTATCACTATGGAAGTAGACTACCCAACCTTCCTTCTGAGGTGTGGCTGGTGGGTTTGAACCACCAGCCTTCTGGTTAGCAGTCAAGTGCCTTAGGCCTATAAGGTAGAAAAATAATACCAGGGAAATGTGTATTCCTTAGAACAATCAACCATACGAGATCAAGGGGCCACATTTGCCCAGGGATAAAGCTTACAAGGCAGGAAGGGATAGAAAAGAAGGACAAATGACAATGGTAAACAGAGAGGAAACTGTTACCCTGTGAAGACTGCAATGAATGTCACAAAACAAAATGTATATGAACTGTTGAATGGAAAACCAATTTGCTCTGTAAAGTTTCACCTAAATCACAATAAAGTAACATCAAAACCGAATTTCAAGACTGTGACAACATGGAGTTTCCTGTGTGACTGCACAGGTCTCCTCCTCCTGAAGCTGTCTCTGATGATTAGTATTCCTGTGCAGATCTCTTGGATGTGCAGGAAAAAATCAGCCACTTCACCAAGGCTGGCCGCTAACAATGTCAGTAACACTCAAACCAAAAGCAAACCCACTGCCATCAAGTTGATTCTGACTCACAGCGACCCCCATAGGATTTCCAAGGCTGTAAATCTTTATGAGAGCAGACAGCCTAATCTTTCTCCTGCAGAGCAGCTAGTGGGTTCAAACCACTAACCTTCTTGTTAGCAGCCAAATGCCTTAACCATACCACCACCCGCGCTCCTTCCTCAGTAACGCAGAGGCCTCCCAACAGTTATCAAAGCAGCTCTTTTATTGTTAGTGTGTTTCCCATTTGCTATGTATATTGTATGTTGTTGTTGTGTGCCAGTAAGCTGATTCCAACTCAAAGTGACCCCATGTGACAGAGCAGAATTTCCTCAAAGGGTTTTCTATGCTGTCATTTTTATGGGAGCAGATTGTCAGGTCTTTCTCCCACAGAGCGGCAAAGTTGATTTGAACTGCCAACCTTCTAGTTAGCAGCTGAGCACTTAACCTTTGGACCATAAGGGCTCCTTCACAGCAGCTCTTTTAAAGAAATAGCCCCTGAGCTTTTAGGGCAAAAAGTTGTTCTTAGGTGCCATCCTAAAGTCTCAGTATTCTGTTTGAGTTTGCAGATATTAAGATCTATCTGACTCTTGTTTGGGATGGATAGTGCATATTAGGAAAAAACAAAATAGACCTTCTGTTTATCATTATCTCAGTTGAAAAAGCCATTTTCCTGGACTTCTGGTAAGGTGGCAGAATAGACAGACAAGCTACACAGACCCTCTTCAACAAAGAAAACACAAACCAACAGACACAGATACAGAAGATACTCCTGGAGCCTGAGCTTCAAAAGGAAAGATACAGAAGTGGATTAAATACCAACTAGTAGAAGAACCTGAATGAAAACTGAATAATGAGACAAACGGAGCTGTGGACTGTCAGCTATTGTGATGGGGCAGCTAGTCTGAATATTACAAGTGGTGTTAGGACCTGGGCAGTAACCTAAAAATAGGCCCTGCTCACCAAGGACTGCATGAACAACTGTACCAGTGACTGATGACTAAAAAGGGTACCAGCAAAAAAAGGAGGCAAACTGAGCTATGGACTTTGGGCTGTCCAGAGGGTGCAGCTATTCTGAGTGTTTACAAGTGGTATGGCCGTTTTGGTTATTTAAAGCAGCAGCATTCCAATTCCAGTGACCTAAGAATAGGCTCTGCTTGCTGAGGACAGCACAGTCAATCACACTGGAGGCTGGTGACTGGAAAGGTGCAATATTCCCCTTGTTACTCTTGTAACCCATACCTTCTTAGTGAATGGAAGTGCAACCATCCCCTGCCTCCACCCACCTTCTGGAGTGGTAGCAATTCCATTCTACTCTGTGTGCTCTGATGGAATCTGGGTGCCCTGCCCCATACCCCCCCATCCCTAGATTTTTGTTTTTAAATTATTTTTTCTTCCTTTTACTTTTTATTCTTTCTTTTACCATTCCTTGGTTCCAGTATTTGGGGGTTTTTTTTTTGGCATTTTTTTCTTTTATTCTAGCTCTTTTCATTTATTTCCACTTCCCCCAAATTTTATCTTTATTTATTTATTTATTTATTTGCTTTCTAAAAGCATTTCCTCTCATTTATCACCTTTCCTTTTTTTTTTTTTTTTGTTTTTCTTTCTTCCTTTGGGGATTGTTTCTGTGTGCTTATGTGGTGTGTGTTTTTTGTCCTCTTGTTTTTATTTATTTATTTTGAGTGTTGTTTTTCTCTGAGTGAGAGACACTAACCATATCCATACAACACAACCATAGCCACATCTCCTTCAGCCCTACTGAGTGAAGGCCACCACTTGCTTCTGCACCAAGTGGCCAATGACAGATGTGACAGCTGATATGAACCTGACACACCCTTACCTGCTCTTCACAAACAGCTAACAGAGATCTGTGCACTCACTCTCATTCTCTAACACACCCACCAGGAGACAGATGGTGAGTACTTAAGTGCTACCAAGTAGTGAATAGAGGAGCACAATACCCTGCTTATTTGGATATATGAAAACAAAACAAAGAAAAAAAAAAAAACACAAACTTGGTGAATCACTCCAACATATAATCACCAATTAAATATAAATACAACAAAGTCACAATGTCTTGGAGACAACACACCATCAGAGTCCATATGAAGAAATAAGATAAAGTAGTAGAAACAAGGGACCAGGACACAGACCTACAAAACATCCTGTAGGAAGAATCAGCATTGGAACTGCCTGATAAAGAATTCAAAAGAAGTATATTTGGGT